CAGGAAGCTGAGAGTTCATATATATATTTTAAATATTCTTGAGTCTTTGGGAAATTCATACCACATATTCTGATCATATTTCCTCCTCCCCCAAGACCTCCCAGATCTGCCCCCAGTTCCCAGTTTCACATTTATGTATGCTCATTGAGTCCACCTTGCCCAAATGTTCTCAGGTATGGGCCCTGCCCTGGTTTGTGATCAACCTACCAAGGGTCACATCCTTAAGGAAAACTGACTTGCTGTCACAGCAGCTACTAAATGCCAATAACTCCTTAGCTGGTGTGAGACCTATGCCCGCCTTCCCCCTCCATGTTGGCATTTTGTTTAGCTTGGAGAGCTCACATCTTGAAGCAAAACAGGAAGCAGAGTGGGTGAGGTAGAAGTGGGACAAGGCTTTGAACTCTCAAAGTCTGTTCCCAGTGATTTGCTTCCTCTAGCAAAGCCACAGCCCCTAAAGTTTCCATGACCTCTAAACAATGCCACTGACTGACCTAGTGAGCCTACAGGGGACATATTCAATCCACCACATCCATCTTGCAGTGTTGATCTTTAGCTCCATTCTATAGATAGGATTCTAGCCTTAAAGAGGCGAAATGACTTAGTCGCAACGTCCTAGCTACCACTTGCCAAAGTGGTGAGCCATACTCTGGCCCACATCTTTTGTACATCTGTGCTGCTATAACCCAGGGCCTAGCCTGGGTGATTTGCAAATAATAGAAACTTATTTCTCATATTCTAGAGACTGAAAAGTCCAGACCACGATGCCAGCAGGTTCAGTGCCTGAGTTCTGCTTCTAAGGAAACTTGGACTGTGTCCTCACATGGAAGAAGGGAAGGAAAGGCCCCAAAGGGCTGAACTCCCTCAACCCCTCTCAAGGGTCATCAGTCATATGCATGAAGGTGGAGCTCTCCTGGCCTGATCACCTCCCAAAGGCCTACCCCCTTTGTAGTGCTGCCTTGGAGGTCAAGTTTCAATACAGCATTGTGAGAAGCACAAATATTAGAAGCAAAGATGCTTCCAAAACCTTCTCTGAATGATTCAAAGCATATGTTTCCTGTTGGTATACGCCAAGTAAACTCAATAATTATTTGAATCTATTTTATTAAGATAGGGTCTCACTATATAGACCACACTAGCTTCAAGCTCATAGAGATCCACCTGCTTTTGCCTCCCAAGTACTGGGATTAAAGGCATGCAGTATCATTCCCTGCTCATTATTCTAATCTGACCCAAACCCAAAGATAAACATAATTATTCCATTTACAGATGAGCAAACTGAGTCTCAGAGGACACTGAGCATGGTGGAGCTCAGGTCTAAGTGGCTGCTCTCTCCTTTGCCACTCTCCAAGGTTAGCAGGTTCCAGCGTCAAACCCTAGGATGGCCCGAGTATGAGGTGGGGCTCCAGGAGTGCAAGCTTAAGGTTTTCCCTCTTTTTTGGTTGCTGGTCTCAGGATAAGGTCATTCTGAACCTGGCAAGCCACTGGCAGCTACCTGTCCTCACTGGGCCTGCTGAGTATTAGGTTTGATCCAGGTCTAGTCTGGCCTCTCTCTGTCCCGGCAGCTGCTACAAAAGAAATGACAGGCACCCTGCCACAGCTTTCTGAGTCTGTAAAAGTCATTCTTCGGAAGGGGCTGCAGGTAGTACATCCCATATGATGACATATTAAAGGGTCCAACGTTTCCCCCCTCCCCTGTCACCCAGGAATCAGAGGCAACCTTACCACAAGTACATTACTTTGGGCTACTCATCAATTATATGGCATTGGACTCCCCCAAAAACCCTATAAGAAGGGAATTGTGCTTCACCTCCTGGGCCTGCACTCTCTTCAGAGCCCCCACCATGCTGTTTTTGTATGGTGTTAATAACTCTTCTAATAATCTCTGACTCAAAACACTCCACTTCAGTGCCCTTGAACTTATGAGACTTCTCATAGAGCCCATGACCCAGGTCCCTCTAACTTGACTAGTGGTATATAACACGTATAGTGATGTATGTGAGAGCTATGGCCAAAACCCATGTACATTTGTTAGAGCTGCACCTAGATGCCTGTCAGATCAGATGCTGTGCTATGGTAAACACAGGGCTGTTCCCTTTCCCTTGACTCAGAAATACCTGTGATGTGGATGGAGAAGAGCTACACACAGAGTATGAATTTCCAGAAAGTTCTGGGCTTTGTTTTTGTCTGTTTGTTTTTGTTTTGTTTTGTTTTGCTTAAACTCAGAATATCTTAGAAGTCCCTTTTATGACTGGAGGTAAAAACCAGGGTCTGTTGGGACTGGAGAGATGGTTCAGCATTTAAGAGCACTAACTGCTCTTGCAGATGACCTGAGTTTGGTTCCCAGCGCCCACATAGTGCCTAATTCCAGTGGGATCTGCTTTTCTGATCTCTGTGGGCATTGCACACAAATGGTGTACTTGCAGTCAAAATACACATAAAGTTAAATATTGCTTTTTAAAAACCAGGGCATATGGCTGATTTCCTCCTCTTCCTCCCTTTCTTTTTAGATTCATTTTCTTTTTTAAAAAAAATATTTTTAATTTTAGTTATGTGTATGTGTGTGTGTGGGTTTGTGCATGTAAGGGCAGTGCCTGAGGAACGTAGAAGAGCTATCCAATCCCTGGAGCTGGAGTTACAGGTATGGATGCTGGGAAACTGTCGCAGGCCCACTGCAAGTATTCTTTCAGGCTGAGCCATCTCTCCAGCCCAATTGATGTTTTCTCATACTTGACATGAGAGAACGCTGCCACTATTCTCTTCATAGAAGCACAGGAGCCATGGAGAGGTTTCTGGGACTTTTATTTTCATTCTAGTTTTTTAAAAGCCAGTGAGGGTGGGCATAGCTTAGTTCCTTTGGGCTGCATTCCTCTACGGCCAGCCAACTCTTTCCCCGCCCCCTCTCCCTGCCAGGAGCTCCATATCACCTGGCTCAGAAGAAGTCAGTCCAGGGCCAGGCCACGTAGTGGACTAAGAAAGGGGGGACAGTGGGTGCCTGGCAGTCCTCCCAGCCCCTTGTCCTGCCTGAGGCTTTCCTTGCCTGGTGCCTCTGTTGGAGGAATGTGGTGCTCAGAACCCTTCCCAGTCCTTTCCTCCCTGCTGCGATGTTCCCAAGCTCCGATGTCCTTGGGCGTCTGGGGGTGCCCAGGCGGGTGGCTCTCAGGAGCAGCTCGGCCTTGGGGTGCTCTCATCCTGTTCTTGCCTCTGCCTGGGACCCATCCTTCCCTTCTACCCTTTTCCCAGCCAAGCTCTTCCTTGTTACAGAGGAAGCTGTCTCGAGGGCAAAGTGCAATCGGAGGTCAGAAGGGTCCCGAAGCTCAGGACGGGAAAAGTTCCGTGTTAGGGGTGTTCTCGGGACCCTTTCCGGAGGGACTTCCTCCCGATCCCACTAGTGGAAGCGCCAGGAAGCGCCTCTGGACCGCGCCTCCATCTTTTCCTCTGCAGTCACGGCCGCTGGTTTGGACCAGTGTCTGCTCCGGACTCCCGGGCTAGCTGCTCCTCGGGGGAAGCCGCCCCTGGTCCCCACGCCTGCAGCCGAGCGGCTCTGCAGCCCCGAGCCGGGCTCCCCGAGGCAACGCTGCAGTCAGGCGCGGTGCCGACTGGGCCGGGAGCCGGGATGGCGGAGGTGTGCGGTCGGCTCCCTGGGCTGCACCCACGTCCCGCTCCTCTCCGCTCCCTCCTCCCCTTCGTCCTCCCTCCTCCTCCGATTCCGTCTTTCCCTCCTCTTCCCTCCCGCCCTCCTCCTGTCCTTCCCCTCCCGCGCTCCTCCTCTCGAGGACCGGCCTCCGGCCCCGCCGGCTGGTCGGACGGAGAGGGGAAGGCCGGGCCTGGGCTGTGGGCCCGGGCGCGGGGTCGGGGCGGGGCCGGCGGGCGGGGGTCAGACGCTGTGCGCGCCCAGGCCAAGCACCGAGAAGGCGGCGCGGTGCTTGCGCAGCAGCAGGCGAATCTTCTCGTCGTCGGAGTCGGGGTCCAGCGGCTTGTTGTACTCGTCGTCCTCGTTCTCCGAGGCCGCGCGGTCGCCGCCCGCGCCACCCGGGGCCCGGGGCGTGGAGGACGAGGGCTCCAGGGCGCTCTTCTTCCTCCACTTGGTCCTCCGGTTCTGGAACCACACCTGCGACCAGTCATCACAGGACAATACAGGGGTCACCCGGGAGCCGCCCGAGAGCTGACTCCTTGGAGGGGGCAATACAGTTAAAAACGTGCGCCGCAGCTCTTTCCCGGGCTGGCAGCCCTCTTTGGGTGCAGCGTCCCCGTTGGACCCTTGGGCAGCAGCCGCTGAGATGCCACTGGCTAAAGAGATGCTCTGGGACCAGAGTGTAGCCTGGTCTAGCTGGCCCAGGCCTAGCTTGGCCAGGCCCTCGGTTCCACCTCCAGCAGGCAAGATAAAATTGAATGAATGAATGAATGAAGTTGACCCTCAGGAACTTCATGAATGATTTCCCCCTAGAAAAATAGCACACATTGCTTGAGATAGTTGAAGTCGGAAGATCCCTAAAAAGGAAGACCAATGTGTGAGAGGAGCCCACATTATCTCCTTCCATTTTACTGGCAGCCTTCTCTCCAGGCCTGGGCCAGGCAGGTAAACACAGCAGAGCCCAGCCCTGGGGGCTCACTTTGCCCCTGAAATTTCCCATGCCTGTTCACACTTCACTGAGGTAGCAGTCTGGAGAGAATCAAGGCTTTCTCCTCTGGTGTCCACATTCCAAGTGCAGTGAGACCAGTGTGGAAGCAGAGAAAGGTGCCCCAGGGGCCTGAGGAGGTGGAGGCAGGGTTCTGCACGCCCCACCATTAGGCTCCTGTGGTAAGTAGAATCCTCCTCTTCATGGAAGGGAGCAGAGGGCTGTATTAACCTCATTTTTAGAAATTTATGTTTTGTGTATGAGTGTTTTGCCTGCATGTTATGTCTGTGTAGCGCATGCATGCTGTGCATGTGGAGGTCAGAAGAGGGTAGGGGATCTGCTGGAGCTGGAGTTAATGTGGTTGTAGCTGCCATGTGGGTGCTGGGATCCTAACCCAGACTCTCTGCAAGAACAGCAAGTGCTCCTAACCACTGAGCCATCTCTCCAACTCCTCTATTATCTTTACTGTAAAAATGAGGAAGCAGGCCAGTCAGCGTTCCAGAGATCTGGGTTCAAGTCTCAGCTCTGCCCTTACCAGCCACAGAAGACCACAAGTATGAGGCTGGATTGAGGCGGTCTCTACATTTGTGGAATAGGCCTTAATAGTGACATCAAGACAGGCCGACTCAAATGAGGCACCACACACAAGACTCTCAAGGCTGGGAAAAGATGGCTGCTATTTGGAGGAGGGGTACTGTTGATAATTGCTATAAATAATCTCTAGGGTAAGACAGCCAAGCAGTACCTTCCCCTCTCACTTGGTGGCCTCCTGCCCTGGCAGATGCCTGGCTGACAGGCAGATGCCTTCTCCGATACAGACTCACCTTGACCTGTGACTCAGTCATGCCCAATGAATATGCCAGCCTTGCCCTCTCAGGGCCGGCCAAGTACTTGGTCTGCTCGAAGGTTTTCTCCAGAGCAAATATCTGGTGGCCTGTGAAGGTAGGCCGGGTGTGCTTTTTCTTATGGATGTTGTCACTTAGGGGATCTGGAGCTGAGGGAGGAAGGAAAGTGGGATTAGCAGAATGAGTGGGTCCTGATAGGGTGCCAGCCCGCCCTGCTTCTTCCACAGGGGCATGCCTTTCTACTGAGAAGCCATTGAGGTTTGGGGGACATGGTGACACCTATCAGTTGAACAGCATTCCTCATATTAGGATAACAGTGACTGTGAATGCTGCCATGTCTTGGTAGATAGGGCCCCTACAGGGCATATGCTCCAGATATAGCTACTTAGGAATAGTGAGGGCTTAGAAGAGGGTCTTGTATCTTTCTTTTTAGTTTTCTCACGACTCAAAGGGACATATAGGAGTTTCTTCTCTGTGCCAAGACACCACGATAAGGACATTCTTTTATGTCACCAAGACAGGCATTGCACCTTCTCTCTGCAGTCAGAGACTTGGGAGCCAGTGAATGCCTTCTACATCCTTGCTCTGGGGCCCCAGCTTCCCCCAGGTCTGTTGGCAAAGCATGGAGGGGCAAGCTTCTTTCCCAAGGTGCTACTTCTCCATGCTATACTGCCCAGCAGCCAGCCCAGTAGCTAACTTCCCTCAGACCTTGTCTCTTGGAACCAATTATACAGCCTTGTTTTGGGGTGCTGGGAGTCATATGGACAGGCTAGAGACCCCCACCTCAGCCAGGACTGCCTCATCAAGAAGGAGTTCTGGACTTAGAAGTGGAGTATCCATATGTGTTTGGTCATTGTCAGTGTAGTCCAACAACTCATGTCCCCTCTCCTTGTTGTAGGCAGGGAGACTGAGGCACAGAGGATGAGACCTCCTAAGAGGTGATCATCTTCAGCCCTCTCTCCTTTTGCCTAAAACTGGTACTGCCTTAGCAATTTTCGGGTGTGTGTGTGTGTGTGTGTGTGTGTGTGTGTGTGTGTGCGCACATTTAGGACTGAAGAGTAAGGGAGTGGGGTGGGGGTGCCATAAAGGTGAGGAAGAAACAGCTTGGACTTAGAGCACTGCCAAAGCAGCTTGTACAATAAGTACCCAGGGACGAGGTTTGAGGGAGGGGGTCTGTCATGTTGCTGGCTGCTAGGTAGAGTAGTGCATGTGAGACAGATTTATTTTGGGGTTTCCATGATTGGCTCTAAATCCCTATTACAGTGGGGAGGGGTTAGAGACTAGAGAGAAGTACAGGGACACCCTGCCTCTGTCCCTGCCACATCTTTATCCCATCCAATGCTTTGGTGGCCTGAGGATGGCCCCAGAAGCCACCGTCACTCTTTCTGCCTGCACGTGTCCTTGTCACTTCCTGGATCTCTGACTGGCATCACGCCTCCCCCTCCCATCTATTCTGTTTCTCTGAAACCTGAGGCTCAGGAACGGGTCGGGTAAGGCCCCCTCCAGCACCCAGGGCCAGGATCAGCTTGGCTTAGCTGCTCTGGAGCCTGCACTGTTGTTGCTATTGCTGACATGAAGCCAGCCAGAGGAGGAAGGTGGGAGATGGGTCCTAGCCCATGGACAGGGCCTCCAAGGGATTCGAAATGATGCCATGTAAAACTGGGCTTTTTGGGACTATGATACCGCAGCAAGTTTTCCCCTCAAGGGGTAGCATTTGTCTGCTTTGGGTGAACGAATGGTAGCATGGCTCTAGGCAGAGGTAAGCTGAGCCCAGGCACTGCACAGGGTGGGGTGGGTTGTGTCTTTTGGGTCAGGAGCTCCTAAGGCCCCTTGAAGGGCACCTGAAGTGGCAATGGGTAAGGTGGAGTTCAGACACATGTGCTAGGCAAAGGTAGGATAAGTAGTGGGACAGGGTGAGATTCAGTGTTGCCTGGAGCTAAGGAAAGGGACCAGGGGTCAGGCTGGGCTGTAGAATGGCAGCCGAGGTGAGGTGGCACACCTGGGAAAGGCCCCAACCTGGGAAAGGCCCCTACCTCTTTCCTTCTCCCTGGGACTGGCTGGGCCGGGGGTGAAGGCCCTGTACTCACTGTTGCCGCACGGCCGTCCTCCGGCTCGCCAGTCCTGGCCTGTGTCTGCCCAACAGTTCCGGGTCCGGGTGGGGTACTCGTTCCCAGCCTTGGAAAAACTCCCCACCTGGGGGCCATAGTAGACCCCCTGGGAGCTGAGTCCGCCAAAGCCTGCCACGTGGGGGTAGCCAGAGAGAAGGCTGCTGTTCGGAGTGGCTACCGGCCTGCTCAGGATGTCAGTGATCCCGTGGGGTGTCCCCGCAGCCAGCTGGGGGCCGAGCCCGGGAGGGCTGAGCTTGTAGAAGGAGTTCTGCACTGAGTACTGGCACACAGGGGCCTTCATCTCCGAGAACTGGGCCAGCGGTGTGTTGTTTAGTAGGAACGTTCCCTGCAGGTTGGACTCCATGGTCTTCAGGTCAGGAAGTGGAAGGGCCGGGAGCCACTAAAGCTCACCACCCCAGATGGTGGCCCAGAATCTCATGGCAGGTCTGGAGGGTCAGAGCCACCCCAGCCTCCCGCCCAGCACACCAGGCACCCACGTCAGCCGGCTGGGAAGTCAGGTGCCAGGAGAAGGGAGGGCTTCCGCCTTCTCTCTCTGCCTGCTGGGGTGCGCCTCACACTCAGTGCACCCCGCTCCTCTGCCTCTGAGACTGGGGACCCTTCATCAGAAGTTTTAAGTTCAGAGAAGGGACATTTCCTTGATAAAGATATGGCCCATTAGAATACAGACCTGAGACTGGCTGAGCTGTCAGAGCTGTGCCGCCATTGGTTGGAGCCCACATGGGCCTCACATTGGCTTTTCTTAGACAAATTGCACTTTGAAAGATTGACTGTAAATCAGCCGTGTGTGTGTGTGTGTGGTGTGTGTGTGTGTGTGTGTGTGTGTGTGTGTGTAAGAGAGAGAATGAATTAGCTCTAGAAGCCCTGTTCCTGGTGGGAGGCTCCACTTGCTCCCTCAAGTCCAGTATCTAGGAAGAGGTAGGTGCCTGGGGGGTGTCCATCTGGAGGCTCCTGGGGCAGCTGTTCCCATGAGGGTAAGAGGGTTGAGCTCAGAGGTCACTGCCCTAAGCTGCTCCTGGCCTGCGTATAAGCCAATGTGAAGCTTCGTAGGACACGGCTGCTTCTCTTTCTTCCAGGAGCAGGTAAGCGGGAAGGCTGAGCAAAGCTTGTCCTCTGGGTAATACATATCTCTAGGGCTTGAGAGGCTGGGGTGGGAGCCCATTCGGCAGGGTGAGTCAGCTCTCAGGGTGGCCTGGGTGTGTGCACCTGCCACTGAGGCTGATTGGGGTCCCTGCGTCAGTGTGTTCCTGCTTCTGCCTTGGGCCAGCCTTTTCCGGTTTCTGGGGACAGAATCTCTTCCATATTCTATCTGGCTCCTGTAGATATGAGAGGTCCCCTGACTCAGAAGTGGAGTTCTAAGCAGCTTAGTTGGGTTGGGGCCTGAGACTGGATTGACTTTTAGAACACTGTGTGCTTTATTTGGATGAGTTTTTACAATCTGCTAAGCTCTCCTGGGGGCAGTCTCATTTTATGGCAGGGAAACCAAGGCACAGAGGAAACCAGAGACCACTTTCCAGGTACTGGATTGTTCTTTAAATTCAGCATTCTTTCCTGAAGTTATTCTCTAACAGTGGAAACTAGCTTGTTCTGTACATGTAAGAAAAGAAGGAACAGTGGTTTCTCTATATAGATGGACCCTGCCTCAATGTCCCAAGGTTCTTCCTGATCAGGCCATGGTTTTGGGGAGCTTGCTCTCTTACTATGTGGTCTGCATGTTCACAGGTGGGAGACAAGAGATATTTCCTTTGTCAACCTTCTTGGAGGCAGAGGACTGGCTGGGGGAAGCCCCTTCCGGTGAACTTGACCACAAGCAATATTCTGTGGCACAGGTGATTTTGTTTAGGGAAGGGATCTAGCACAAAGGGTGAGACAGGCTTTCAACAAGTTTGGATTAAACACATAAAAAATTATCTTAAAAAAGACTTTATTTTTATTTCTCTCTCTCTCTCTCTCCTCTCATTAAACACATAAAAAATTATCTTAAAAAAGACTTTATTTTTATTTCTCTCTCTCTCTCTCTCTCCTCTCTCTCTCTCTCCCTCTCTCTCTCTCTCTCTCTCTCTCTCTCTGTGTGTGTGTGTGTGTGTGTGCGTATGGATGCCTTTGGAGGCCAGAAGAGGGAGTTGGATCTCTTGGAACTGGAGTTAGAGGTGATTGTGAGCTACCTGACAGAGTGCCGGGAAATGAACCTGGGTCCCGTTGAGCCATCTCTCCAGCCTGAGTAAAAGTTCTTAATGGTTTATATTAGCTTTGCTACCAAGCCATGCATCAGCTATTGGGAAAATTTAGGAGATCCCCAGATTCCTACCCAATCCCACCAAGGCAATTGTGATTCTGAAACTAGTTAAAAGGCCCCCTGGAAAATGCAAATGTGTGTGTTTGGGGGGGGTGGCTGGCTTTCAGTGTCTGACAGAGAAGCTTGGGGTTGATGAGGCTGGGGTGTTCCAGGGATTTAGGGACATGGGAAGTTAGGAAGGAAATTTGCTGTAAATGATTTGATTGGTATTAATGTCGAGCTGATAATCCAAAATGACAAATGGAAGAGACTTCAGCAACTATTTAATCCAATTCCCCATTTGACAAATGAAATTGAAACCAGTGTTGTGCCCAGCTTTGTATAAATAGCTGGAAACTAGTTGGGAACAGGATCTTTTCCTCTCTCTAGCTCTTGAAGGTTGAATGGCATCGAGTACAGGGTCAGATGCTTTTGTAGGAAGAGCATGGAGCTTCCCTGCGTGTGTCACCTGCAGGCCTGGTCAGGTTCTTTAACAGTTTGTGGGTACCCCCTTCCCGCCTCCCACCTTTCCTCAACCAGGTAGCCAGGCACTGCCACATCTTTGGGTCTTTCTCCTGGGGAGGTTGGTACTGACTAGAGGTACTGATTGAAACACTGATTAAGGACTCCTTTCAGGGGCAAGGGAGGCTCCGGATTCCACGCGCAAACCCCATCACCCCCGAACAGGCTCAGTCTTGTCCAATCCCTCAAATCCTCAAAGATGATCCAAGAAGGAGAGATGGAGGCCTCTGCCATGAGTCAGTTCCTTTATTAATTTGACATTTGTTTAGCTGGTGTAGGGAGAATGGTCTATTACATCAGAGTGGGGTGGGGCAATCTCTCACTGTAACAGAGGGTGAGAGCCAAGAAACGGTTCATTTTTCATAACAATTAAAAAATCAAGGTCATTTCAAAACTTCTAAAAAGCGTCTAAGGTGCAGACTGCAGCATTCTCTAGGCATCAAGTGGAGACCCCAAACTCCTCTCCTAAACAGCTCCTACTAGCATCTGGAGCGCGCAGCCATGCCGCCGAGGGGTGGTCGGCGGGCCAAGCAGGCATGCCGGACCGAGCTGAAGGTGCCAAAGCGGAGCCCGGCCGTACGCGGCGCTAAGGGCGGCTACGGAGGCGGCGGCCTGGGAAGGCGCGGGGCGAGGCGGGGCGGCCGGGCTTTGCGGTCTCCTCGGAAGGCAAAAGCCAGCCCCGCCCGAAGCCAGCAGCGCACCTGCCCCAGGCGCACCCGGAGCACACACTAGGCACACCCGGGACGCACACTAGGCGCACCCGGGGCACACACTAGGCGCACCCGGGACGCACACTAGGCGCACCCGGGGCACACACTAGGCGCACCCGGGACGCACACTAGGCGCACCCGGGGCACACACTAGGCGCACCCGGGGCACACACTAGGCGCACCCGGGGCACACACTAGGCGCACCCGGGGACGCACACTAGGCGCACACACTAGGCGCATGCGGCCGGTCGCCCCGCCGGGAACCCCGGGTCCGGTCTCCAGGGCCGTGGCGTCGCGGGCACGGAGGGCACGTCTGTGCTACTTGGAAGGTTTACGGTGTCCTGACACCTCCGCGGGGCGGCAGAGGAGGCAGAGGACGGCCACCCAGCAGCGGCTCCCGGAGGAGAACAGCCTGCCGGGCTCTCTCCTGGCGTTAGGGGGCGCCCGCCAGGGGCAGGCGGGGCCGGATTGTGCTGATTCGGGCCTCCCTCTGCTGGAGGCTCTAGTGGGACGTTAAGGCTCTTCCCTGCCGGTCCGGGCGAGGCCAGCCAGCTGTCGTTCCCCTTCCTGCCCTGGCCAGGAGGCTGGCCGGAGGGTCGGTCCTCAGCCCACGGCCTCCCGGCCAGTCGCTTGGCTGCGCAGCCCGAGCCCAGCGTCTGTGCCAGGACCTGCAGCCTGCGGCCGCCTGCACTTCAAGCACCAAATTGGCTCTGGGAGACCTCGGGGTGGTCTGACCTAGGAACTGGCAGGTACATTCACTAGCCTTACTCCCTTCCTTCCTCTTTCACTGAAAGACAGCCTTCAGCTCCTTCTCCCACAGCCTGGAGAAGTCCTCAGGAGCTGAGCTGTTAGTGCTTTGTACATACTGCTAAAGTATTTCTATTGGTTTGCATAGTATTTATTGTTTTCATATACACAAGGCTATTACTGTACAGTTTATGCTTGAACACAGACTATTATAGAAGTGCTTGAAGATATAGAAAACCTCTCCTCTATTGAACATGCTGGTGCAATCCTGGGACAGCCACAGGCCCTTCCCCAGCAAAGAATTTTCGATGGGGCCCTGGCTCCCTTTGAGCCCTACAGCTGAGCCTGGGGGGGTGTCCTTGCCTCAGATTCTTAAATTCCTAACACAAGGAACCCCGAATGCACTGTGAAGGTGATGATTCCCCACTGGAAGATGATTAATACTGAAAATGAGACAACATAAAAAAAATTCCAGTTTATCCGTAGGAGTTTCTACACCGCTTCGGAGGTCACAGCAGACTCAGTGTGTGAGCTGAGTGAAGGGGAGAGGTGCATGTGTGCACCTGTGCATGTGTATGTGTTCTGGGAGGAACAGTCTGCCGGGGACTGGAGGGTTGTCCCAAGTGGCACTCAGCATGTACAGGTGTAGGAGCTGGCGCATGAGGACGGAGATGGTGCTGAACTGATTTCATGCCCAGTTTTCATTTTTCTCTTTCCAGAAAGCACAGATGGATTTCTTAAAGATGAGGTTGAGTCAGAATCAAAACAAACAAACACAAACAAACCAAGCAGCCCCCCAACCACCCTGGCCATGATAGAGCCCTTATTCAGTTTTGTACCCGGTCACTCTGGCGAAAAGCTCCCTTTCATTCCTCTCCTCTCTTCTTGCTATGCCCTCATTCCCACAGAGATCCATAGTCGCTAGAGGCAGGACTGAAGACTGTAGGTCATGCGTCTACAGTCAGTCGTTCATGCGAATAGGAGACTAAAGGAAGTCCCTTACAGAGGTCATGCTGGGAGCCTAGAACATGTGCGGCCCTTCAGTAGCCCTCCGGTCCAGCTCTCCTTCTGTGTGCATGACAGAGTGTGTGGAGTTCAGGGTTTGGGTGTTGAGGTGTGATCCTGTGGGACACAGAGAAAGAGGGAGTCACTCAAGAGTTCTGTGCTGGCTGCTAAGGCAGGGCAGACCAGGAAAAGCAGGATCCCCAAGCAAAGCAATGAGCTGAGAGGTGTGCTCACAGAACCCCAAAAACACAACCACCCTTCCTTGCTCTCTTCCCAGAGGTTTCATCTCCCTGGCTGTCCAGCCTCTGCCGTTCAATGCAGAGAGGATGAGCTCCCAGGAACCTTGTGTCGGGAGCAAGGATGATGCTATGCTACCAGGAGGCTCCAATACCACTGGGCAACCTGGGGAAATACCTTAAGAGTAGATTCTTGTGCCAAGAAGAAGCCCTGTGCCAAGAAAGAGGCTAGGCTAGGCAGTGCCCTCTATGTTCTTGGTTCAGGGTAGCCCACAGCACTGATGTTTGCTGAGAGCCTGGACAAGATCACAAGGCCTCTGGAGCCTTAAAGGATGACAGCTCCTCTTGGGCGCTAGCCTGTAGGCTCTTACTGTTACTGTACCCCTGGGTCCTGTCCTCATACTCAACTCTGTAACCAGCTCTGTAGCGAGGATTTCTTTGAAAGACAAGTGCATTCTCTCTAGACTATTTCATCTTGAGCTGGGAAACAGCAGCTTTGTGTGTGAAGTTCAAACCTGGGAGCATGGGGTTCACAGTCAGATACCACTCTTGCTGACCACAGCTGTACCCTCTAGCCTGCTGAGAAGCCACCGCCTCCCTCCTTCCTTCTTTTCTCTTTTAAAAAGTTGTTTTTTGAATTTTTTTTTTTTTTTTTTAGACGGGGTCTTGTAATACAGCCCAGGCTAGTACGAAACCCATAATCCTCCTGTCTCTGCATCCTGAGTGCTGGCATTCCAGGCCTAAGCACCATATCTGGCTAATGCCAAATGCCTTGCCAGAGGCTGTGAAACCTAAAAGCCAGGTACCTTTGCTGGTCGGAGGGAACTGTCACTTGGAAGATGTGACTCTGATCCTGCTGGGCTACTCTTTCCTCCAGCCCTACCTCCAGGCTGTGAGCCCACACTGCCCCTGCTCCCGCCATTAGGCCACAGCTCTGCTGTCAAAGCTGCCATTCACTCTCCTCTCTGCCCAACGTGTCCTGTTTCAAACCTGTCCTGCATGAACCTCCTATAATTTCAGCTCCTTTCAGCACGTCAAGCTGTTCCTTCCCACCTCTACCTATTGGTTAAGAGTAACTGTAGAGCACCATGGTCAAGAGCAGGAACTCTGAAGCCAGACTGTTCAAGCATAAATCCTCCTTGACAATTACTGGCTATAAAACTTTGGTCAAGTTACTTACTTGCTCTGAAATGCAGTTTCCCCAGCTGTAAAATGGGGGCCATAGCAGGACTCACCACACTAGATCACTGTGATATGCGAATGATGCACTAATACTAGATCCATGGAACGTGGAGAGCAGTAGGCATTCTGGGCATGTAAGGGAGTACTGGGCTCTTGGGAAGCATGGATGCCTGAGTGCTGCTTCCTTCTAACCAACTGAGCTACAGCTGGGGCTGGATTATGAACTCTGCACGGGCAGGAACTCCTTCTTCATCTTCCCCACAATACCTACCCCAAAGCTAAGCACTTCTCAAATGAGAGACCACATGAAATCTGGGGGTCCAGAGACACAGGCTAAGATTTCCCATCCACTTTCCTGCCAGGTCCTAAGCAGAGGAGAAGGCTCAAGTCTTAGATATCATTCTGGAGTAAGTAGGACCCATTTTTGTCTTTGGGTAAACTGAGACTCTAGAGGAGCAGAGACAGGTCTGGCTGGAGCAGCTGGTGGTGCAGGGGTGGGGCAAGAACAGGAGCCTCTGGCTATAGTCAAGACTTCTCTGTGACACTGCCTCTCCTTCCCAGGTCTTGCTCTGAGAAAGGCTCACCCTTCCAAAGCTTAGCCAGAGGCCTCTCTGCTGTGCTCAGAGTGGATATGGAGCTGGGCTCTTTCATTTCCACTCTGTGCTGCGGCACCTGTCTCCACCCTGCTTGTGGCTCTTACTCCCACCTCCCCTTTCCTCTGATTCTGACGTCTTTGAGGTAGTTGAATGTCAGGGCAGATTTCTAACTTGCAACGAATCAAAACAAAACATGCTTCCCTGCCTTTTCCCATTGAAACTGATTAATTTTAAGTTTATTATAATATTCTATTGTCAGAGCTACTGTCAGTCTTGAAACCCCATTGTTTGCATGGAAAGTTTCCCTTAAAAAGGAAACAGAGAGGAACTGGCCTTTATTTCCCTCAGCTCCTCGGAGAGTCCTGGAAAGCATGTGTGGAGGGCACCAAGAACTAGTGCCCTTCCCAGGCTCCTGGGGCCCCTGGGGGCTGCAGTATTGCCTGTGCTATATCCCTCTTAGCTGCCCACTTCACACTGTCCTCCCAGCAGCCCTGGCACCCTAATACTTGGGTACAACAGTTTGAGTCTTGACGAAATAGCAATTTTTCCAGCTTATTCAGCCTGCTGGAAAACTGCCTCACTCGCCAGGTCTTGGACATACAGGCCTTCCCAGGGCTGGCAGGGAATGGCAGAATCAGAATGAGGTAATCCTTTCCTCACCAGGGTAGAGGAGTCCTGCCCTTGAGGTGTTCCATATTTCTAACAGAGATTAACCAGTCTTCATTTCAGTCACCTTTTAGATAATAATGCTTACAACTGTGCCATGTCACTTTTAGGCAGTTTGGGGAGTAGGATCAAAATCAGTCATAATAACTCAGCTTTCAATATGCATAGTAAACATTTGAGAAGCATCAGGAAGACTGAACTCCAGAATTTTAACTGAGCAGGACTGAGGCAGAGACCAGGAACTCAGTCCCCTGCCTGCTAGGCAAGTCTTTACTCCTGAGCCATGCTCCAGCCTAAGAGTCTGTCTTAAGACTCCAGATGACTACGGTAAGGGGATGTGGCTACACTTTGAGAAAGAGTATCACAGAACTTCATACTCCGTAAAGCCCTTTTACAAACATGAGCTCATCCATCACCACACAGTCATTCTATGAGGAAAATACTGGCATTATTGCTATTCATGGATAAAAATGCTGAGACTTGAGAAGATCAATTGACTTGCCCCGAGTCACTCTACATGTAAAATCTGTCATTGACTAAATGCCAGAGTATATATGGCTTTATTTACTACTCACAACACAATACCTCTCACAGTTATTTATAAACTTTCCCCTCCTGTGCTGGGGAAGAAACCTGAGGCCTCAGCTCTGTCAACATTTTTTATTGATGTGTAACACACATTCAGAAGAGACTTCATCTTTTTTAAGGAGTGTGAAGCTGGGAACCGTTGAGTGACTTAAGGTCATATTATCCAGAAATAAGAGGATCTGGGTCTCAAATCTAGACTCCAGTGCCAGCTTTCATGCTGATTCTCATTATTCACAGTAGGTGTGCTCTGCAAAGAACCTTTGAGCACAGACTTAGCGAAGGCTTGGTTCTCGTCAGTCTGCACATCGTTCCTCAACCAACTACTGCATAACCATGCTTTATGTGCACTTAGGCTTAATGTATGTGGGTCATTCAGTCACACTGACCTCACTACCACAAACATCATGAAGCTTTGGAACTTGTTTTACCTAGAAGGTGCCGCATAGCCTTTCTGTACTGAGAAACACTAGAACTTCAATACAAACAGTAAAATCACCATCAAAAATCAAAGAAATGTGATGAATGTGGCACTGAACAAACCAAATAGAAGGACACTTGTTGGCAGCGTGGGAGGTAGAACAAGGTGGAACAGCCCTGCTCACTCTCGGCTGGGAATCTGCAAGCCCATCACTATATGCTTGTGCTTGTCTGTGTGTCTGTAAATCACTGGGCACAAAAGCACTGTGAGCACTGGCTTTGGGTTATCAATAGATTCTAACAAGTACGTAAATCTACAGAGAAGTAACGAGAACGGATGCTGTCTGTCAGCGGGTGGCAGCAGATGGAAGGAATAGAGCACTTTTCTGTCTTTCAGCTGAGAACGGAGCATCCACAACCCTCCAACCCTCTGGACCTGGGTGGGAGCCTGCCACTGTACTCTGTACTTCCTCATCACAGTCCCTGGCTGCTTCCCCTTGCCTCTTGTTGGCAGAGGGCTCAGTACTGTCTTGGAACTAGGCTGCTCAGTTTCTGACCACTATGCTCATGAGGCCTGGTCCCTAATCATCTGTGGGGGATTTGATCTCTTGGTAGATCAACTATAGCAAATTAGTGAAAGTATTCTACTTTCCCTCTGTCCCTCAGCCTGGCTTCATGTTGTCTGTCTCCTGTTTAGGACATGGATAGAATCTGAGTCAAACGAAGTTCAAATTTGAAGCTACCATTGCTGCTACCATTAAAAAATAAGGCAGGAGGACATACTTTTCTTTCCTCTATTGGGTCATTTCTAGGCCACGATCACAGTTAACCCTGGCCTTCTAAGTCAGCACCTAGGCAGAACCCCTTGGCAGTGCCAGAGTTAATGCTGTGACCCCCTTAAGCTGCTGAAGAGTCAGGTCTAATTTTACTCTCCTACTGGCTCTGCCAAGCCTCATTTTTGCCCAAGTGCTGAGATATGTTGGGAAGCCCCGAGTCAGCACTTCTGGTAGCCCAGGAGGAAGTGTGGGCCCTGCCTGCTTTTTGCAGAATGCAGAAAGCTAGCACCTGCTTGCCGCTTGTCCCTAGGGCTAGGCCCCGAAAGTTTGGATAGCAATAACCCAATCAGTGGGAAGGAGCTGCGGTGCTGCCTTGCTTCCTGCTGGTTCCCACCCCGACGTATCCTGTACTGAGCTGCCCCGAGCTGGGAGTAGTGAAGGCCTCGGGGCAGCTCAGTACAGGATCCCTCAGGGAGGGCAAGGTCAGAGCTGGCTACCAAAGCCCCAGCACTGCAGGTCTGCCGAAGGTCTCTGCACACCGCCCACCCCTCCTCAGCCCACTCAGGCTCTGGTACCTGCTCATCACACAGCAGCACTCAGCCCTAGCCATGAAGGAGGAGAGCCCTAGCCCTCTCCCAGATGTTAGAGAATACTACCCATCTCTTGGAGCTGTTGACTTAGGTTCTTCTTAGAAAGCAAGGGAGCAGCCTAGTTCACAGGACGGCGGGGGAACTGAAGCTGGGCTGGGTCAGGACTCCAGAAAGGCTTCATGTTCAGGCCCGGAGTTCTTTCTGACCATGTATAGTAAGCTCTCACAGCCCTGATAGTCTCTTTGATGCTCTCCAGTGTCCTGGCCACCAACAGAGAGCCTACTACTTGGTTTCCCAGGGAAGACCAAGATTCATAGAGTGCTTTTTACTTTTCAAACCACTGTTTTAGCATTGTACAGGAGTTCGGGGGGTGTGGCCCGGAGGCAGAGTCCATGCAAGAGGTTCTGGGCTTCATCCCCGGCATTGCCAAAAACTAAAACAAGACAACAAACAAAAAATAAGCACAATAAAACCAAGCCCCTGAATCTGAGGACTCCCTGGGAGACCAAGTTCATGGTGTGAGGGGCAGAGAGTTACTAGTTTAGGGAGTGGGAGAGTGGGAATCTGTGTAGGCTGTGGCTCTGTGCTGGTACAAGGAGCTGGGGTGGGGCGGAAGCCAGCAGTTCCTTTCCCCAAGACCAGGCTACAAACGACAAGAAAGCTGCTATTACCTCCCAAGCAGCTACTCCGAGTAGAGATCACTGTTTGCCCCTCTTCAAGCTGGCCCTCTTCACTATCTGAGCCCCCTTCCTGCCCTCCGTCAGGTCCGGCTGTAGTTCACTCCCTCTCAGCCCCACCTAGAGACAGCAGCAGAGACAGAAAGTAGGAGTCATACAGGCAGAGGAGAAAACAGAGAAGAGTGAAGAGGGATAGTACGGAGGTGGTGGGGACACTGTCCGCCAGGAAGGTGACTGAGGAACAGCTTGTGTAGACTGAGCCAAGGCAGAGGTGAAGCAGCAGGAAAAGTTGCTGGAGCCTCTGGGAGCCTGCAGCTCCTTAGTACCTTAGTGAGTCTCACAAAGGACTCAATATCAGCTTCCAAATCCCCAGGGTCATCCAGGGGCCCTTCAACAATCACCTCTTCGTGTTGCAGGGCATCGGTGGCACCAGAGGAGTCTACCTGCCGAACGACTTTGCGAATGATCTGAGAGAAAGGGAGAGGGAAGGCTAGTCAAACCATCGAGACAAAGTCTGAGGAGAACAAGACCCCAGGAGTGACATCTGGGAGAAAAGCATTGGCCTCTTGTCCTTGTCCATTGGGGCCAAGAAGAGGTACTAGCTTCTTGCTGCTGTATTTATAGCAAATACCTGTGGGGCTTAGGGAAATACACAGGCACCCTCCCCTGCTCTCTCTGCCTCTAGCTATCGTGGGGCAATGCTTAACCAGCAACTCCAGCCTACTGTGCTGATGTATGCTGCCAGTTCAAGGAGTTTCTACATCCTTTCTATTAGAGGAGGCCCCGGCCAGCTAGGGACAGTTCTCTGTTCTGTAATAACTCATTTCAGAGCAAGGTCTCACAGAACAAGGGCTATATGTTTCATAGGGGTCTATCCTGGAATGGGGTAGCTGGAATCAAACTTAAGAGATTATGAAGACCTCCATACCCTAACTTCAGAGGACCCAAAGCCAAATCTCTCCTGAGTTGTTCTGAGCCACTGGGGTGGCAAGGGCCACCGCCTACCCGTCCTGCTAGGGCAGCAGTGAGAAGCAGCTACAGTCTGGGTTCCATTGCCTTTCAGGTTTTAGTCCCACCAGCCTCCCCAGCTTGGAGGCTCTGCACCCACCTTGGTGACAATGTTGCCCTGTTCATCTGTGAATTGTTCCTCGGTCACCTGCTCTCCTGGAATATTCTGAAGCTCATCCCCCTGGAATTAGAAGGCGGGGAAGACCCAGGCTAGTAAGTGGGACTTTGAGAATAAGAGCAGAAGATGGGGGAATAAACAGCAGTGGCAGCAACAGCTGCATCCCATGAAACCCCCAGGTCAGCAAGTAGCCTCAGCCAAAAAGAGGGCTCCTAGTTGTGGTGGCACCCTGTGGGGCCAGGAGGCCTGAAGACAGGCTGGGTCCAGAGCTTGCAAGAGCTTTGTGTGCTTGATGATTGCAACAGAAACAAAACATGGATGATTATACAAGTTCCTGAAGGAGCCCTGAAATATGATACCACAAACCTCATTGTCCTGAATGTGATATCCTTGCAGCCTCAAAGTTGGCTGCACAAACTGAATGAGAACAGGCATCTTAAGTCCTAGAGCTGAGCTTCCTGGGCTGTTATCCAGTGCTGGGTGCTGGGGTAGTTCTGAGCAGGTACCACATTCAGCTCTGGCTCCCAGCACAGAACCCAACCAAAGAGGCCTTCCTAGTTTTATTTCTCCATCACATCTCCTGACTCGAGTTGGCATTCCCTCAGCTCCACCCCATGCATGCACCACAGGGTCCCCTCAATCTGATCCTCTGGCACCTCTGATCCAGCCCCTGCCTGCCACTTGCTTAGTGTTACCTTCAGGAAGACCCGTCGGCGGACCACCCTGGTAGAGATGGTTTCCTCGTCATCACTCAGGCCCTCGCTCTCCCCCAGCTCCTTGTCCAGCTCCTGGTGGATGTGCTTCAGTACAAAGCACAGAGAGCCCCTGACAATGTGCATCACATTCTGACAGCTGACCAGGAAGAAGCCCAACAGCACCAGGGTGACCAGAAGCTGGGTGATGAAGGTCCACATCCTCCTTTCCTCCCCCTCCTCACCAGCCTGGCCCTCTGGGGCGCAGGGGCACCAGGGGCCCGGCTGATGTGGGGATCCAATCACTCATTCTCCTCTGGGAGTCCTGAGGTCCCCAGCAACCCCTTCCATTCTGTCTCTGCTTCTCTTGGTCAGCTCTGCTCTGTGTCCCTCCCTTTCTCCCTCACTCCAAGCGGGAGGCCAAATGAGCCCTCTCCTGAGCAACTCTTAGCTAGGACAGTATGACCCAAGTGCCCTTCCTGCCGAGCAGCCTGTCCTCACACCCGAGGACGTCAGCCTTCTATAATTTTAGCTCCTAAGCCAGCTGCTGGAGCTGTCCAACTGGGCTGAAGGGAGGTAGCAGGTGTTGTATCTTGGGCTCTGAAAGCCAAGTACATCTGAGTCACTGTAGAGAGGAAAGGAAGGCTCTGGCTGCTGGCCTTTCTGCCTGCCTGTCCCGATGGGAGACAGAGGGAAACTTTCTCATTTTGTGACTCCACAAAACAAGATGCTTTGATAATGAGGGTATGCCCAGGTCTACTCGGGCAGCTACTACAGTAATCAGAATGATGCTGGCCAGAGTTGGACCAGTTAATACCAGGGAAAGTAAGAGTTTATTTCAAAAACAGCCCTAAGGGTGAGTGATTTGTTCAGGCCCATTCAAATGAGCTGGGCAAGGATCTAGCACAGGTGGTGTCTCAGTGGGAAGCCAATCTGTAATTCCTGTCAGTCCTGAAAGACCTGGGTCCTTCCCATTACAGAGCACAGCAACTCTAAATTCCAGGGTAGAACTAATGTCTATTTAAGGCCTATCTCAAAGGCTCTTTCAAGCTACGTTGGAGATGCCCACAGAATAAAAATCATTCATATTTTACTCATGTTCACAGCACTGATTTACAAATGCAGCCATAGCAGGCAGTCATGGTTGGAAGGAATTTCACATTCTGGGTCAGGCTGCTCCCCTTTGAGTGGTAGCCCAGCCTGGCATGATCAACACAGCCCAGGGACACAGCAAACTACTGCTACCACGCACCACTGTGGGGGCTTAGGAAAGTTGGGCACCTTCTCTGTCCCTCAGTTTCCTCACTGGTGCAGTGGGGATTAAAGTGCTTTCTCTACAGCTCTCCAGACTGCTGTGAGGCGGCTGTTGAATGCTGATAACAATACCAGGCAGCCTGCTCTGTTAATGCAGGCTCTGGTCCATGTTTCGCAGGTTAACTCAGTGAAACCTTACCATCATTTTATCATGTTAGGGTCTATAGTTCTCCCGTTCTACCTAAAGAACACAGGTAATGGGGGTGACAATAACATTTCTAAGTGAAGGAGTAAGTAAAGAAAGGGATTTCAAACTTCTGTCACTCCACACGGCCTCTGAAGTGCTTGGAAATGTAAAATCTCTATCGCACACACAAAGTTACTGGTCACAGGAGAACATTTGGTTTTAGATGAGCCAATAAGAACCTAGGGGCTGAAGAGATAGCTCAGCAGTTAAGAACACTGGTTGTTCTTGCAGAAGACCCGGGGTTGAATCCCAGCACCCACATGACAGCTAACAACTGTCTAGGGGATCCAGTCCCAGGGGATCTGATAGCCTCTTCTGACCTCCGTGGGCACTGCACAACACGGGTGCACATATCTACATGCAGCCAATATACAAATTTATATAAAATAAAAATAATAAAATATTTTTTAAAAAAAGAATCTAGGGGCTGGGAGGAACATAGCAGAGGTGGAGAGTGCTTGTGGAGCATGCGTGAGGCTCTGGGTTTGATCATAGCACACACACACACACACACACACACACACACGCACGCACGCACACACACACACACACACACATACATGACTTCAAAAGAACTTTGGATATTTCCACCCAGGTCCCCAGAGAAACTGGCTGGGTTAAAGTCATTTCAGGCACATACCACAAACCCCAAATGACAAGGCATTTCTCTTTTCTCTTTCAGAGATTCAACACAAATACTAGTAAAAGGAGCTTTGCAAACTATTACCTTCATGGGCATCACTGTCATCTCCTGAGGGCCTGTCAGATGTCTATGGACAATGACCAGTCTATTCATCCAGTGGTTCCCAGACCAGGGAGGTTATGGAGACTCCATTTCCATGCTGGTCACAGCGGCCCTATGCACTGACCTTGCCACAAGAATGTGGACTAGGAACTGAGAGGTCTGGACCGTCCCAGCCCTGCTTTGTCAAGTGACCCTTAGAAAGCCCCTGTTTTCCCCTTTGTGCTTTCCTCATTTATAATGCAGAGAGTTTGATACGTGATCTAGAAGCATTCTCTATGATGTCTTCTCTTCCCCAGATTTTCCTGGGGGGGGGGCGCACAGGAAAGAATGCTCCTAGATTTTCTTTCCCTGGGAATTCAGAGCAGACCAAGTTACCATCAACTGTGCCTTGGGCAGTGCTCTTGTTCTTGGGAGAGGCATGAGTAGATGCCAAGGTGCAGCTAGTGAGAAAGAATGCCTGGTGGGGGGCAGGGTCTGTGGTTAAAAATGGACAGACAGCCTGACCTGTCCCAGTGCACATACTTGGCAAAGAAGCTTTCTAAATAAAACTCTATTCGTTCCTAGCAGTAGTTTACAGCCAGCAGCTCAGAAACACTGCAGAGCAAGTCTAGCCTTGTCACTCAGATGTGCTCTTCAAGGGCTGAGGTTCAGGGAGAAAAGAAGAGAGAAGGGATGAGGGAGACAGAGCATGGAAAAGAATGTGGGACACATGGCTGTGAAGATAGGAAACCAAAAGGGACACGGAACACATGGGTCCTGTGTAATATATATTACACACACACACACACACACACACACACACACACACACACACACGCACACCCCTATGCAAAGAAGAGCATTGAAAATTTTATAAGGACACATAAAAGACCTATGCTATCAAGATGTTTGGGATTTGTTTAAAAGTAACAAGACTGGCCATGAGTGGGTAGCGTAGGAGTCCAGGGGCGAAAAGGGATGGTCGGGACATACAGCAAGGAAGGGAAAGGGGGGGGGTGACCAGAGAAAGAGGCCGAAATGGCAGGGGCTAGGGAGAAGGGAGTTGTCAGTACCCTGCCGCCTCCCAGCACAGAGGCCGCCCAAAGCCACACAAGTTCAGAGCCAGATGAATGCTGGTGATATGCCCATCACGCCATCCATCACCAATGGGGACAAGGAGATACCAAGAAGACAGCATTGAGCATGTTCACACAGACCCGAGAGAGCGGCTCCTTCGTGACCACCAGACTTCTTACCACAGGGCTCAGCTCCAAGTTCTTTCTAGAGTGTGGTGGACAGGAATTGGGTATAGATACAACACTTGAGAAGCTGAGGCAGGAGGAACCTGAATTCTAAGCCAGCAAAGTGTCTCAAAACCAAAACCAAAACACACAGAACAGAACAAAAACCAAGATAAACGAAGAGAACAAAAACTATGGTTTTGGGTCACCCAGACTTTTTTCAAATCTCACCAGACAAGCAAAGTATTAGACAAGCTGCCTAGCCACGTTGAACATCTACGGCCCAATGGTAAAGAGCATGAGCCACTATGCAGCCGTGGGGATGGGCGATGACTACTGCTGCGTGAGCTCTTTCCTTCCACAGCAGAAGTCAAGGAGGTGGAAGAACAGACTGGCCTTGTGACCTTACTCAGTAAGAGAGTAAGTTACCACCAAAAGCGTGCCTGGCTCTGCCCCTGAGTCTGTGAGCTTCTGAAGCCAGAAAAGAACGAGGGGGCCAGTGAGATGGCTCAGCAGGTCAAGGTGCTTGTCATACACTGAATTTAATCACTAGAATCCTGGTAAAGGTGGAGATAGAGAACTGACTCTACAAAATTTTCCTCTGACCATGGCATGTGTATCTCAGTGAGAGACCCTGTTTCAAAAACTAAGGTGTAAAGCAATAGAAGATGACATGCAACACTAACCTCTGGCCTCCACACATACATATACAGAAGTACATCACCTCACACACCACACACACACACACACACACACACATACACACACACACTAAACAAACAAAAGAACAAGGGTGATGTTTCTTGGGGGCTCTCACCTGTACCTCTTGGGAGAAGGTGCTCTCGGAGGCCCACGGTTCCTTGCCAGCCTGGGGGCTGTCGGCCTCAGGTGGCCCCCTTTGCACATGTCCCCCTGCAGACACCAGCACCTTCTCATATCCCTGAGATGTGCTGGGTTCCAGCCCTTGGATGGTGGTGATTCTTCTCTGGAATGAGTGTGGGCCTTGTGTGACCTCCTCTTGCCAGGAATCCTGTGCAGCTTCTTGGTGTGACGCCATAGGGCTTTGTCTATCCCAGTCTGGTGGTCTAGGGTCCCAGAGAGGTGACAAATGGCCAGGGAGAGAGAATGACAGTTGGTCAACCTTCAGTATCTATTTGCAGATATGCCCCTGGGACCTTGTGTCATCCAGGACACAGCCTGTACCATCCTCTACTCCTGAGGGTTGGAGAACTGGAGCAGTTGCCTAGGTGACTGGCCCACGAAAAGGCACAGGTAGCCCACGGAGTCCTTCTCATGGCCTTCTCCACTCTCTGGGCTCCCAGAGCACTTTGCTTACAGTGATGGCCAAGTCTCTGGGGTCCTCCACACCATTACCTCATATCAGACCATGTAATTTATCATCTCTCTGCCTTCCAGGTCACTCCTACCTGAGAGATGTCATCTGGCAAAGTGACAACTCTCTTCCCCTCCAGACACATTCTTTGATGAATTCTAGAACACCACACATGTCTGGCATCCCCCATCACCTCTGCTACTCCTCAGAAGCCTCTGCTGGCCCTTCCTAACTTCTGGGACTTTTAAACTCTGGAGCATCCCAGGGCTCACTCCTCAGGTCTCATGTTATCTGAATCTACTGTTTAAGTGAGCTCCTGCTTATGGCTTTAAGTCCCATCTTGATGTTCCTGGAACCCAGAGCCAGGTCTCCAGGTTGACTCTTTCTTGGACTTCAGGCATAATGTCCCCAGTTGCCTGCTCTGCATCTCACAGGCACCTCATAGGTGGCAACAGGCAGCTCCACTTGGATGGTCCATCTGACCTCCCCATGGTGATGATCCACCTGACCTCCCCATGGTGGCAGTAAAGACAACAGAAAGGCGCCTGTGTCCTCGCACTTCACCAGGGTCTTCCTCTCATTCTCTATGTTGTTTCAGTCAGAAAATCATTCTGGTTAGACTTTCAAAATAAGCCCTGAACCCACCACTTCTCACCACCACCATGCCGCCTCCTGATCCTCATCATATTAGCTCTTGCCCCTGAACATCCTTTACTGCTTGGACACACCAGGCTTTTCTCATGGTAACTCCCACATCACTCCTCTCCTCTGAACAAAGCCTCTGGTGAGTCTCTGTCCCAGGCAGGTGAAGATACAGTCTTTCAGGGACCTCACAGCCTAACCGAACGTGTCTGGTCCCACTCACCCGTGGCCTGTGCCCCAGCGGGCCTTCTGCTGGTCACTTTCCCCTTGAACACATGTGGCTCACCCTTTCAGTACCTGAAGTCTTGCTGGACTGTCACGCACTCAAGCCTTCTTTCTCACCTTGTCTGTAATCTCAATCACTTTCCTGTCTATATGTACACCCACTTCCTGCTCCATAAACACAAGGACTAGTTCTGTCTCTGACTGTACTTACATCACCTTGTTCCCTGTCAGTTTTTCCTCCAGAACATAAACTTATTGCAGCAGACTTCTGCCTGATTCCTTCAGTCCTTATCCCTACCATCTAGATACCTCTGTATAGGTGCCTGGCACATAGTAGGTAGTCACAAATACAGGTGAGTGAGTGAAAAGCTCCTGTCTACACTGGATGGGTCACCAAGGTCTCAGCCAGAAAGTGATACAACCTGGGCAGAACCCGGACCTTCAGTGACCCTGCTGCTCTAAGAGACAGAGACAGCAGACAGAGAGTTCTCAACAGCTGCCTGCTGAGTGTGTGGTCACACAAACTGTTGAAAAATGGCTTCTCCCATCAGCCTGTCACCTCGCCCCTCACAGGCTTAGTCTGTCCATGTCTTCCCACTAATCAGAGGATTTGTTCAGGAAGAAAAATGAATTTTCACCATTCCACTATGAAAGCACTTGTATTTTTCCCTCCCACAATGGCCCACACTGAGTGGATCCTGGAGGGCCAGCCCACAGGCTTCAGGGGGTGGGAAAGAGAAGGAGAACACAGCTGCTCCCTGGCCTGGCCAGTCCTGCACTCCTTGAGTTTATTGTCTGCTAGGACCATATGAGTCACTTTGATTTAAGGCAAACTTGTGAAGGAAAGGGATATGGAGCAAAGAAAGGGCCTGTGTGTCAGTGCTGGGAGAGACACCCAACTCATATCTGCCCTACCTCTCTGCTATCACAAGGGACTATCTCAGCTCTGACCTTGTGTCTGCACTCAGCCCAGGGCTGTGTTGGTGTCTGCAGAGGGGTGAGGTCCCCTGTTAGCACTTCCCGCCACCGCTGTACCTTGGCTCAGTGCCCTGTCTCTTCAGCATGAAAGTCTCAGCAACAACAGTGATTGCTCAACTGCTGAAAGCTGTATCTGCCCAGATTATCCACCTCCAGCTCTCTCTCAAAGGGGTAAGTAGAAAGGCCATGATTGTCATCTGTAGCACATGCGGGCTGGGTCCTGGTGCTGGCAGGTGTCTAAAGATGGCCTTCAACAGTGAGACAGCCAGTGCCACAGGTCTCCAAACCTGACAAGGTGTCTCCTAGGCACAGAGTACCACGTCCCAGCCTCTCTCAGCATGTCTCCTGTGGGACACGGCTGGGGTGTTCTTAGCAGGTGACTGGACTTTGTAGTTCATAGGTCCTTCCCTACATTCGGTGGCTTCGGAGGCACAGGAGCCTATTTGACACAGGGCATCAGACAACAAAGGGAAGCAGCAGCACCCAAGCCTGCTGATGTGCCCAGTGTCAGGCATATCCGACCCGAAGCCCAGGAGGACAGAAGGGTTCCACAGACCAGCCCTTACCTGGCCTGGCTTCTCTCCGGCACCTGCCTCACGGGGGGTGAGTCTGAGATTCGGGTGTGCACTCGCTGCTGGCCTGAAACAAGAGACGCTTCAGTCTCCATGACCTGCTGTGTGCCTGAGACCTCCTGCCTCATCTCTTCTGACCTCTGACCTTCCTCCTGGCCAAGCACATCAGCCAGGCCGTTTGTGGCATCTGAGTCCACCGTGTCGTCCTCCACCAGGTCCTGAGAGCCCAGCTCCGGGCCCTGCGGCTCCTCTGAGAGCGCCCCCTCCAACCTCCACTCCTGTGTGGCGTCGGAGTCCTCGGCCTTGCTGCACTCCAGAGAGGAGTCCTCAGCAGTGACCAGGGAGGGCGCAAGGCCCGCAGACCACACCTGCATGTCAGACATCTCCAGCATGGCGTCATGCTCCGTGGCCGCCAGCGGGATGGCGTCTAGGACAGCCACTTCGTTCCAGTACTGGTCTGCACACAGCGGAGAGGGGAGCGCGTAGTGCAGGGAGGCGGGGGACAGCAGCTCGTCCTGCAGCGAGGAGTAACCTGGAAGGGCAGACAGAGGGCGACATGCTCCGGAAGCAGTTCTGATCACACACGCTCACGTGCAGGACCACACATGTACGCACAGGCACGGCCACAGAGAGGCATGCACATTCAGGGCAGGGCTTTTCCAAGCTTCGAGGCTCAGGCCTTGTGGCTGCTGCCGGGGAACCCTGGCAAGAGAGACAGGGCCTGAGCCGGAGGGGGGGGCGGCCAGGGCGTGAGGGGAGAACCGGGCTCCTTTGCTGGACGGCAAAGAAACGCAATTGGAATTCATTCTGATCCAGCTCAGAGCACTAGATAAAGAAGACTTTATCCAAAGGACTTGTGCTCCGATCTGCCTCCAGCGATTAGTTGAAAGCCCGTCTCCGCGGCTGGCGGAGGAAGGACGCTCTGTTTGCTCAGAACTTCACTTTAGCACAGTCTTTTGAGTCCTGTTAGGAATGTACCTTGGAGGGAAGAGTGAAGCCCACCCAGGACCAGGGTCAGTAACCAGGCTGCCCTGGAGGGAACTGACAGGGTACACTGAACATCCACAGACCTCAGTGCGGTGGTCAAGTGGGAAACAGGCTTCTGGTTTGGCATGAAGTGACTTTTCCTCAAGGTGCATATTGGTTCCACAAACTCTGAATGATCTACAGTGGCACAGGTGAGGGTTCTAAGGGTTCAAAAATGGCGCAAGGTCAGACGGCACCACAGGTTCCAGCATGTCTGCCCGCAGTGCCTCATGCACAGGCCCTGAGCTATCCACCCAGCTCTGGCTCAGCAGAGACCAGGTGCACAGCATGGGGTCAGCAGTCTACTCCCACACCTGTTCCTTGTCACTTGGCTTGGGAGTCCTTGAAAGCGTCTGGATGGCTTTGGCCTTGGCTCCCTGATGTTCAGAAGTGAGGTGAGTATAAATGGACTGAGGTATGTCTGCATGTGGGGTGTGTGTGTGTGTGTGTGTGTGTGTGGTAGGGAATGTGTGTGCGTGTGTGTGTTGGGCGTTAGTGTTCTGCCAGGGATGCCTTAGCCTTAAGTCAGGAGTCAAAGAGTCCTTTGATTCTCCATTGGAACAGGTGCCCCCCCACAGGCAGAAGAGACTAGAAGACAAGCTTCTCTATTGGTACACCCTGCCTGAGGAACCAGGGAGCTGGCACGTACCTACAAGCTGCTAAAGATTCAGAAGTAGCAAAGGAGGGCTTGGGTATGTATGCATGTGATGGGACGGAGCATCCATGTCTCTAGGGACCATCCTGCTGTTAAGAGTCCCCCAAGCCTGTGTCCAAACCTGGTGATCATCCAGCACCTCCACCCCAGCATCCACAACCCCTCAGGCCAGGCCTTTATTATTCTTGTACTCTAGACAAATGGCCTTCTCTATGGCTCGGCTTCCTCCTCCCTCTTGGCTCTGGGCACTGGCTCTCCCACTGACTTCGGGCAGCAATATCCTCAATCCCCCACGTGCTCAACCAAAAACATTCACCAGTGTCCAATTACATGCCAGGTACTATGCTAAGAATTGGGAAATACACACACAAATCATGTACATACAGCCAGGTTCTCTTTTTTTAAACATCGCTTGTAGTTTGGGTTCCTACTGAGGAATGCTTTTAGCTTTTGCATGTCTGAAAAGAATCTTTATTTTTGCCTTAAATTTTTTTTGCTTTTTTGAGATTGGTTCTCACTGCATAGCCCTTGCTGACCTGAAGCTTGAGATGTAAACCCAGCTGTACTGTGACCTGTGCCCACCTTCCCACTTCTGTCTCCTGAACACTGGAATTACAGGCATTCTCACTAGGCTTGGCTGGGCTTTTTTTTTCAGTCTTTCTTTGTAGCCCAGGCAGGTCTTCAACTTGCTACACAACTCATATTGACTTTGAATTCTTGATCCTTCTGCCTCAACCTCCGAAATGCTGGGATTACAGGAAAATGCCATCACATCCATGGTCTACCTTCATTTTGGAAATCACTTTTGTTGGGAAAAGAAGTCTAGGAATCTAACAGATTATTCCTATTGCTATTATTTTCTCCTCCCCCTCCGCCGGTCTTCAACTTGCTACACAACTCATATTGACTTTGAATTCTTGATCCTTCTGCCTCAACCTCCGAAATGCTGGGATTACAGGAAAATGCCATCACATCCATGGTCTACCTTCATTTTGGAAATCACTTTTGTTGGGAAAAGAAGTCTAGGAATCTAACAGATTATTCCTATTGCTATTATTTTCTCCTCCCCCTCCGCCCTCTCTTCCCCCTCCTCCTTCTCCTCCTCTTCCTCTCCCCTTCTCCTCCTCTCTTCTTCCCTCTTCCTCCTTCTCTCTTCCTTCTCCTCCTCTTCTCCTGTCTCCTTCCTTTTTCTCCTCCCCCTCTTCCTTTTTTTCCTTCTTCACAGTTACAATGCCTTCTCCTCCCCCTCCTCCTCCTCTCTCCTCTCCCTGCTCCTCCTCCTCCCCCCCTCCTCCCATTCTCTTCTCCCTCCTCCTCATCTTCACTGGGGATTGAACCCAGGGTCTTGCATATTCTAGGTTAGCATTCTACTAATGAGCTACACTCCCAGCTTGCTTGTTTAAAGATGTGGTCTACTTTAAATTAACTGTTTAAAATCAATTGTTTGCTTATATTGTTTGCAGTGAGACATCTGTTATCCTTATTTTTGATACCTTGTATTGAATATATTCCTTTTATCCCTGATTTTCACCAGTTTGCTTGTAACGTGCTTTAGTGTAGTTGCTAAAATGTTTCCTGTACATGGAGCTCATGATACTTTATGGATTAATGTATTTATAATTTTCACCAAATTCAGAAAACTTTTAACCTTTATTCCTTCAAATATTTCTTCTCTTCTCTGTTAGGGTTCTCTGACTCTGTCTGTCTCTATAGAGTGTGTGTGTGTGTGTGTGTGTGTGTGTGTGTGCATCCTAACTTGTCTCAGAGTTCACTGGTGCTATAAAATTTTGTCTTTTCTTCCTGTATTTCATTTTGGAAATTTTCTGTCACTGCAGTCTTTTGTTTGGTGTTGCCAAGGATCAAACACAGGGCACATGCTAGACAAAAGCTCTAACTGAGCACCACCCTAGCAACCTCTGAAGAGACGGAGTACTTTCTAACTGTCCTGCCACTCTTGTGTGCGCACCTCTATCAGTTTGTTCTTCGTCTTCTCTCTCATTACTGACTCAGTTTCCCTGCCTTTGCATATCTAGTAATCTTTAACTTTGCATACCTATAAATCTTTAACCAGGTATTTTTTAAAAACATGATTAGAAGAAGCTTTCATTACAGCTTTAACATATTCAATAACAATTTCCAGAGCAAAGATACATCTCTTCCAAAAGTGGCTGTAAAATTTTAGGTTCACAGTTGAATTAATAGTCATACAATATTGAACTCAGTATAAACCCTGTAAGACATAAAATTGAATGAGTTTTTAACCTTTAAAAAGGATCTCCATTTCAAATGTTAAAATATACTGTTTCATAAAGAAAAGCTCATTTTTAATGCTACTAACACTTAGATGTTTGCACATGCGTCTCTAATCTCTATGGTCATCAGGTAGATTTCAATGGTAATGTTTCTCACCTCTACTAATTAACATGAAGCAAATTTTTATTCTTCTTCCTCAAATACTCATTTTTAAAAAATTGTTGATTTGTGTGTATTTCATATAGGACATCCCAATCTTATTCATCTATATACCCACTTCCCAAATGGCACCCTTCCATGGCCTCCACGCCCCCCCCCC